GCATTTTGTGTTAGCTTGCAGAGAATTAGGTCCAATATTAAATACAGCCAATAATGTAGCTACAAAATTATATAGTAAAACAATGATTAAAAAAAGATCTACACAACAAGCATGATAAATTATAATATGCCAAAGACAGATAACATAGCAAAGAAGTAAAAGATAATATATTATTCTCTGCTGAAACTGTAAATAGCAAGTTTTCTCTCCTTGATCACATTGGGTTATCAAAGTTACATTTAAAAAATTGCATAAACCTAAACTAATAATGTATCATCACCAGTTATTCTCAGATTAGTTTGAAAATAATGAAACTGTCATGTTTATATGCTGATCTGCACTCTGTATTGATAATTGGCGCTAATATGAAGATCCAGTAAATACTGGCTGCCTTGTTTCTGCTTGGATGATTGCTGAACTCCAAATCAGGAAATGTGTACAATGATAATGATGAAACTTTGCCTCCAATGACTGGAAAGAGCGGATCAACACTTGATGGATTTGGCAGCTCATTATTCTCTGCAGTTCGGAGAAATGTTTGTTTTAATATTTGCTTTTCTTACCATGCCTAATTTTTCTGACTGAAACAACAGCGCAGCACATTGTGAACTACATGCAAGATAATTGGGAAAATTACATTTTTCTGTAGAAATTAGTTCTGTGATTTTTTTTTTAATGTGGATATGTGATTATATGACATTTCCTCCCTAATCTCCAGGGGTCTCATTTACCAAGTGTAGAACGTCTTTGTTGAAGGGCTAGTCAGTTATAACAAGATCTTCTGAGTGGCATTGCACTGAGAACACCTCCTAACTAGTCATGCTGTTTTATATTTTATAATGGGCTCACCAATGTTCATTATTGGTATTAATCCTGAACTTCATCTGACCACCGTCCAATGACCACTACAACCTCTGGTTTCAAAATACAATTAAGGATGTGCTGTCGCAACATTTTAGCTTGCATTTTTGGTCAGATGTCTTTGTGAGACCTCGATGTTCTAGCAGAATACAGGCCAGGGATGTAATAGGCATTTATAGGTTGAAAGACAAGACTTCTTAAACAGCGTTTTTTAACCCCTTAATGCTGGTGCCTTCAGACCCCTTATGGGGTTTTCGATGCTAGGAGGAGCGGTGAAGTTTATGATCATGTGACTGCTGTGATTGGCTGTCACAGGGGTCACATGATTGGAAAGTCCCAATCACAAGTATCAATCGGGAGCTTTTTGTTAGGCACCAGTAACTGTGCTTGGAGTGCACAGGGCACACTCTCTCGGCGCAGCTTTATTTACATTTTGATACGCATATATGCTGGGCGTTAGGACCCACCCGCCCGGAGACAGCATATATGTGTACTTTCAGTGCCAGGGAGTTAATAATAGCTCTGGGAATTGCACCAATTTAAATACATCTAATATGAGCTGTCGTATTTGCTAAGCCCTGAGTGACAGACTAATACAGTTAATTAGTCTGTCGGTGACAGACTAATATGGTCTGTTTACCTAGCAAAGTGTATTTTCACTTTAAAATGTAAATGTTAGTGAACAAGGCAAGCTATGGGAGCATTGCATACCATATACATACAAGGGATAGTAAAACATATTCAACTTGCTTCAGCTTCACTGTATTTACTAACATCCATACTGTGTTAGGATCGCTTACCAATGCTAAGCGTACAGCCTTCAATCGCTTAATAAGTTAACCCCTATGGGGTTGATTTACTAAAACTGCAGAGTGTAAAATATGGTGTAGCTGTGCATGGTACCCAGTCCACTTCCAGGTTTTTTTTTGTCAAGGCTTAATTGAACAAGCTGAAATTAGAAGCTGATTGGCTACCATGCACAGCTGCACCAGATTTTGCACTCTCCAGTTTTAGTAAATCAACCCCTATGTGTCATGAGGCAGACTTGTTTACTTAGAGATAGATTTTACCCAGTAAGTGGTCATGTTTTGTAAGGTTTTTATTAAAGTGATGTTAAACTCTGGTTTAACCTCCCTAGCGGTATGATTATTTCAGATTTTTGGTGCTGAAAGAGGTACCATTATTTTGCATGGAAATATGTAGTTTTTTTATTGTAGGCTGTAATATTTAGGAATAACTCACTGAAATCTGTCCGAACAAGAGTCTATTAAACATCCCGGGTATGATAAAATTTAAAACACAATATAATAAATTATAATTTAATAAATAATCATAAAAAATAATAATATAATAATAATACATTTAATTCAATAATATAATCAAACCAAAAACACTGAAATTTTAACTATAGCGCCAAGTTCGCACATCCATGAGCAAAGTCGCAAAATAGTTTTCAGTGTCTGATGACGAATTTCCCCACGAATCATTATCACTCAATTCTGCAAGTGGTTCTGATTTACTATTGCTGTTCTCTAGCTGATCTAAACCCGCTTTTGACCTAAAGGGACGCTTTTTGGACGCCATGGACTTTTCTAACTTTCCAGGCAGAAAGAACAGTCAAAATGCAGACAGGGCACAGGACAAAGCACTAGGGACAAAATGTATGTGAAATGGGTTGAAACAGCAATGTTTTACTATGTAAAATTCGCTTTGAAAAAAATGACATTTTTTTAAAATTTTCAAATTTGCCGCCGGTTCTGGCGCCTGTACGTCCCGACGTCACAGGGACCGGAACACAGAAGCCGGATGCCGGCATCAGCCGGAGGAGATGGCCGGGGACGCTGCAGGGGACACATCGCGGGAGCGAAGGACAAGGTAAGCTCTGCAGGGACTCCCTATGCAGCGCCGCATGGTAAGCCCGAGTGTAGCTCGGGGTTACCGCTTTTGGTACTGAAACTTTACCCCGAGCTACACCCGGGAATACCGCCAGGGAGGTTAAAAAGAAAAAAAAATAATTAATGTATGCATTCTTACAGCTGTATTAAAGCCAAAACCATAAATTTATTATATTGCAGCTTACCTATCGTTAGATGTGTTGACAGCATCAGTTTTCTTTTTTTTTTAGCTTTTTTCCCTCTGTTTTCACCTGGTGATCTGGCCAGTAATACACCTCCAGTATTAATGAGACACCACTCTGGAGGAATGAGAATATGAGGCACAGCAAACAACAACATTGTCAGTCTTGGGGAAGGGGAGTGTTAAAGTGATTGTAAAGGTTCACATTTTATTTCTTTAAATAACAAACATGTTATACTTAACTGCTCTGTGCAATGTTTTTGCACAGAACAGCCCTGATCCTCCTCTTCTTGGGTCCCTGGCCAGTGCTTTTGGCCCCTCCTCCATGTATGCTAGCCCCCAAGCCACCTGTATTTGTCTATGAAACACACAGAGTGTGGCTTGTCCCCACCCCCACTCCCTCCTTACTGGCTGTGACTGACAGCAGCGGGAACCAGTGGCTCCCACTGCTGTGTCTCAGCCAATGAGGAGGCACAGGAGAGCTTCTGGTCTCATGCACATGGATCAGGCTCAGGTGTGTATAAGGGGGTGGGGCTAGGGGGGAGCTGCAGACTGAAGATTTTTTACCTTTATGCATAGAATGCATGAAGGTAAAAAACCTTTGGCCTTTAGAACAAATTTAAATGTATTAACAGATTTAAATAAACTAACAAATTATTAATACAGGTACTTATTTAGCACTGTCAGTTTACACAGCACTTCACATATATTGTACATTCATATCAGTCCCTGACCCTCAAGGAGCTTACAATCTAAGGTCCCTAACTCACATTCATACATAAGACAGCATGTCTTTGGAGTGTGGGAGGAAACCAGAGTACCTGGTGAAAACCCACATAAGCACATGGAGAACATGCAAACTCCATGCAGGTAGTGTCATGGTTGGAATTTGACGGCCCGAATGCTGCCAGGAGGAAGTGCTAACCAATTACCATTGTGCTGCCCCAAATTGAAGGCAAAGTCTAGCTCACACTTTGTAATCAGTTACAGGAAACAGTTTTTTTTTCATTTTTGGATAAAGGTTTATATGAATAAATAAAAGCTGATCATTTTAATTACCCCTGCCAGTGTTAGGTGGTTTGTCTCATGAATGTAAACAGATACATTCTGCTGGAGGGTTTGTGCTGTGAAAAAACAGACTTGCTGGCTGGATTATCAGATGTAAATTCAAGAAAGAAAGCCTAAAAACAAGTAAATTAATACAGTCGTCACATCTACGTATTGGTAAGCTGCAATATAATACATGTTTGCTTTTGGGTTTATTGCTGCTTTAACTGTAAAAAGGTACCTTCTATTGCTTTCAGCCTCCTCCAAACCTTCAAATTAATTTTTTGCTGCTGTGATCTGACTTCTTGTTTGTTCTCCATGGTCTCATTGTATGTAGAAATGTAGCCACACTATGGGCTCCATTCACAAAGCAGTATCTACCTATTTGAGAAATGTGGTAAAATACCACTTAGCATTTTTCAAAAAGTTTTTTGGCATTCACAAAAAAATTCTAAAATACCAAATGCAATATTTTTCTGAAATATGCAGATTTTATCTCATGAAACCATGTGGTATTTTATCTCATGTGATATCCACTGGAATGGGTACAGTGGAGAAGAATTAGAACCCCTGTCAGTTTTTATTGCTAGTAATGAGGTAAAATTATTTAAACTGTAGAAATATGTCAACTCACTAAGGGTCCGCTTACACCAGATGCGTTGGGATTACTTTGAGCTGTTATTCCTGCGCAGTCCCACTGCATGACAAGGCAAAATACCTTGTCTCCTGTGTGCCCAATTCACATCACTTGAGTTGTGGTGGTGTGCAGATACGGTACATACACCACTTATTTCACTGCACAGCAGCGCAGTGGGAGGTACCACCTTGCACTGCGCAGCAGCCAACTGAACTTAATGAAATGTCTGTGTGACAGTTCAATAAAGTTAATTTAAGAAAAAAAAAAGGAACAGCGCAGTGTAGAGCAGTGATACCCACCAAGCCAGACTGCACACCAGCAGCTGCATTATAGAGCGGTGGCTAGTGTGAATGGACTCTTAGTCAGAGCAATCCCTGCAGCATACATATTAACCACTTCCAGTCCGGCCGCTGTATATAAATGGTCGGACGGTGGCAGTGCAGGGGAGGGTTGCCGTTCATGGCAGCGCCCGCCATTTTGAATTGTGCACGCTCCCTGGACACAGCGGAACACCGATCGCTGTACGGGACCTCTGTGTGAGGTCCCAATCATGTGATCACTGATTGGTCAATCAGTGATCACATGAATAGGTGTAAGCAAGATGTCACTTCTGACATCATTGCTTACTACGTGTGAAATCTGTGAATGATCACAGAGATCACATGGTACAAGGCTATTCACAACAGCCTTGTACCATGTGACAAGCTGTGACCAATCACAGCTCACACAGTATTTCTCAATGGCTGCAAGAATGCAGCCAGAGATAAGGAGAAATGATTGGTTTTACAGCCTTTATGGGTGTAAAAGCAATCAGTGTAAAAAAAAAAAAAATCTTCATCACTCCCCACAAGTAGTACAGTGTCACTATGGTTGCACTGTACTGCTAGGGTGACAGTATGTTAAAAAAAAACACATAAATAATAATATTAAAAAAAAAAAAAAAATGCAAAAAACATTTTTTGAAAAATAATTATAATTATAATTTTTGGTTATAAAATAATTTGGGTTATTTTTTTTTACTAAAAGGATAACTGAATACATTTTGGCCAAGATTTATGAAGAAAGATTATTTATTTGCAAAATTTTATAAGAAAAACACTTTTTTTCAAAATTTTTGGACTTTTTCATTTATATAGCAAAAAAAATAAAAATCCCAGTAGTGAATAAATACCACCAAAATAAACTTTTATCTGTCTCAAAAAAATGCAAAAAAATTAATATGGGTACAGTGTTGCATGACCGAGCAATTGTCATTCAAAGTGTGACAGCACTGAAAGCTGAAAATTGACCTGGACAGGGAGGGGGTAAAAGTGTCCAGACATGAAGTGGTTAATGCAAAAGAAAAAAGTGACTAGAATACCAGTCAAAGGGAAGTTGCTTTCACAGGACACATGTGGTGTCTCAAGAACAACTAAGCTAAATTAAGTAAATACAGCATATCTCTCTACATGTCAAATATTGAATGAAAAAAGTATTTTAAAAAAATCACGCATATATATAGTAAATACCCGTCTTCTACAACATTGACTTTTTCATTCATTTTCGTTTTGGATAGGGTGGAGAGGCATTAGAACACCTATTAGGTTTTTTTCTGTGTCCCCATTAGGGAGTTTCACCTTCTCTATTTGTCCTGCTTACCATTATCATTGAAAATGTAATTAGAAAGCAATACCAAATTTTGGGTTGTCCCCAGGACAGTAATAGAGGGGAAATCTTCCAATGGGGCACTAGTTTTGGGGGACCCCAAGGGATTCCCTTAATTTGCAGGGATTGCCGCTCACTTCTTGTTTTGGCTATGGGCAGGAAGTAAAGATAAATCTGCCCAATGGGACACAGATGGCAAAAATTAAACAAATAAATGACAAGGGTTCTAACCCTCCATTGGTTTATCCAAAATGAAAATAAAGTTTTGCCTTTTGTCACACTTTCAAACAGACTTTCTCAACCTTTTCAACACAGAGCAACCCTTGAAATACCTTTCATGTCTCAGGGAACCCCTGCTAAAAATGACTATATCTACAACTCATGATACATTAGTGTGATGGTCAGTGGGAAGAATGCTCCTTACATTTGTGGTCACTGGGAAGAATCGCCCCCTTATAGATAGCTATAAAGATCAATGATGTCAGTCAGAACTTGTCAGTGGGAAGATATCTCTAAAAATATTTGTGAAAAAGTAAAGTATCCCCGCTACATATATGATATATATATATGTTCTAACAAGGGATTAGACCATTGTGATATGCATGTACATTGAATTATGTTATTAATGATTGGGAGGTTTTTTACAGCAAATTATGTATCTGCTTGTATATACTCAAAAAAGTCTCTGAAAATCTGTCGAAATGACAAGAGAAAATAGATAGATTTTACCACATGTAATGGGGTGCATTTACTAAAGGTAATGAGGTACATAGAGTGAGCACTTTGCAAGTGAAAATGCTCCAGAGGTTAGTAAATGAGGGGTAGCTCTGCTGACTTTCATCATCATCACAATCATGTGCAAGCAAAAATGTTTTTTATTACCTTGCATGTGATTGGGTATTCTTTGTAAAATTAAACTTTACCTCATTTACTAAGGTCCTGGGGCAACTTGAAAGTGCACAGTCTATTTGCTCTAAAGTACAACTTTAGGCAAAACTTTTTTCATTTTTTAATTTTAGAGTAACGCAGAGTTATAACGCCTGTAAGGTTTGTTTTCTATTTTTTGCCATCTAATTCCCATTGGGGAGATATACCTTCACTTCCTATCCTATAGCCAAAACAGGAAGTGAAAGGAAATCCCTACAAAATAAAGGAACCCCTTGGGGCCCCTCAGGTCACCAGAACCAGTGTCACCATGGGAAAATTTTGGGGACAACCAAAAATTTGGGATTTTCGTTTATTTTCACTTTCAATGATAATGGTAAACACGACAAATAGAGAGGATGAATCTCCGTAACAGGGGCACAGAGAACAATAAAAACCTGACAGGTGTTCTTATCCACCTCCACTCTATTCAAAACTAAAATAAAGTTTTGCTTTAACCACTTCCTAGTTACACTTTAACCACTTCCTGTCCGGTCCATGTATATAAACAGCCGGAGGGGAGCAATGCAGGAGCAGGTGGCCGTTTTTAAAAGTCCTCCGGCTTCCCTGCCTGTGCGTGCTCCCTGGGAGCGCGCGGCACCACGATCCGGTGCCTGTTGTGTCCGGAGGACCCAGCAGAACACTGATCACTGTACGGGACCTCTGTGTGAGGTCCTGATCATGTGATCACTGATTGACCAATCAGTGATCACATGAATAGTAGTAAGCAAGATGTCACTTCTGACATCACTGCTTACTACTAGTGAAATCTGTGAATGATCACAGAGGTCACATGGTACAAAGCTAGTCACAACAGCCTTGTACCATGTGACAAGCTGTGACCAATCACAGCTCACACAATATTTCTCTCTGGCTGCAAGAATGCAGCCAGAGAGAAGGAAAAATTATTGCTTTTACAGCCTTTAAAAAATCTTCATCAGCCCCCCACAAATAGAACAGTGTCACTATAGTGATACTGTACTGCTAGGGTGATAGTATGTTAAAAAAAACACATAAAAAATAATATAAAAAAAATAAAATAAAAATGTAAAAAACATTTTTTGAAAATTTATAATTTTTGGTTATAAACTAATTTGGGTTATTTTACTAAAAAGATAGCTGAATACATTTTGGCCAAGATTTATGAAGAAAGATTATTTATTTGCCAAATTTTATATGAAAAAACACTTTTTTCAGAATGTTTGGACTTTTTCATTTATATAGCAAAAAAAGTAAAATCCCAGTGGTGAATAAATACAACCAAAATAGAGTTTTATCTCTCTCAAAAAAATGCTAAAATATTCATATGGGTACAGTGTTGCATGACCGCGCAATTGTTATTCAAAGAGTGATAGCATTGAAAGCTGAAAATTGGCCTGGACAGGAAGGGGGTAAAAGTGTCCGGACTTGAAGTGGTTAAAATAATCACCTCCAATGATTAATGCTTAATTACCGCATGCATTTAATGATTTATTTCCTTCTGTGAATTCCTTGGTAAATTTAATTGACAATTTCAGGATTGCATGCGATATTTAGGGAAAATGTGTCTGAACACAAAAAAAAAAAATTTTTTGCTTTAACCACTTGCCTTCCTGAGGATTTACCCCCCTTTATGACCAGACCATTTTTTTTGCGTTACGGCGCTGCGTTACTTTAACTGAAATCTGCACAGTCATGCAGCACTGCACCCAAATGAAATTTACGTCCTTTTTTTTCCCATGAATTGAGCTTTCTTTTGGTGGTATTTGATCACCTGTGTGTTTTTTATTTTTTGTGCTACAAGCAAAAAAAGACTGACAATTTTGAAAAAAAAATCAATATCTTGGACTTTTTGCTATTATGTTCAGTGAAAAAATTTATAAAATCAAATTTCATCATGAATTTAGGTCAAAATGTATTTTGCTACATGTCTTTGCTGAAAAAAAAATCCCAATACGTGTAAATTAATTGGTTTATGTGAAAGTTATACCGTATACAAATGACAGTATGAGAATGAGTTTTTTTTTTTTCTAATAGTAATGGCGGCGATCAGTGACTTTTAGTGGGACTGCGGCAGACATTCTGACACTAGGGGGAACTAACTGGTGTCACTGACACCCCAGTGACACCAGTACAATGATCAGTGCAAAAAAAAAAGCGCTGACACTGTACTAATGGCACTGTGCAGGAAGGGGTTAACGTGAGGGGCGATCAAAGGGTTAACTGTGTGCTAGGAGTGTTTTACTAGGGGGCAGGGGGTGTTTTCTTCACGGTAAGCACACTGATCGGGATGGCTGTATTGTGCAGTGTGCCCGAGCTGACAGGGAGGAAGATTGTAAACAAAACAATCTTCCTCCCATCGGAGATGCTCGGTAATCATCGGGCGCTGGTGGGTAATTACCGGCTGGGACATAGTGACTGACATCTGTGGCTGCGAATGGCTGTGTGCAGGTAGGGTGCGTGCCCCCTACCCGGAAATGCGAAATGACGTATATATACATGATTCTGATCACAGGTGCCGCCCTATAGGGCAGTCCTTAAGCGGTTAATGAATGGAGCCCAATCTCCTGAGATGGACTATGAACTCTGGACTATGCAATTGGTTTTGTGCATGGAGCAGCGTACATGATCATAACAAACTTAAAACAAATGACAAACAAGTGAGGAGAAAAAGAGAAGTTCATGAGCTCAGAGGTCATTACCAGGAAACAGAAAACACAGTAAGAATACATTTCATGAAAAATAGCCTACATAGCCATTAATTAGTGGATGTGTATAAATTGTTTTTGGAAAATAAGGATATTGTTCAGTGTCTCTTTAAATCTAAAAGTGATTCTTCATTTTGTACTTCAAATGCATGCACTTTTTTCTGCCACTTGTGTTATTTTCAGCTCTTATAACTGAAAATGGAGAAAGTTATGCAAATAACTTATTGTTATAGCTAAGTGATGTGAGGTTTGTATTCCCCAAATTGCTTTATATTCATCATATCTGTAAGGCAAGGAGTTCAGGATACATTTATTTTAGGATTACATTTAGAATTACATTTTTTTGCATTTATTTATTTATTTTTAACCATGGGGATTTAGTGTGCATTCAATAGTAGATTACATTGGAAAGTTGTAATGCTGTAGAGTTCTAAAAGATGTCTCACAATTGAAGGTGCCCAGAATTATCTTAATGAAAATTCATAGCAGTAGAAGGGCTGTCATACTCACCTTTCCAGAAGAACATGTCTCCTACCTTCCCTCTGTTCCAGCCCTGCAGGCTCCATCAGTCTTTTCAGCATTCAACATTTCTGGAAGTAACAGATGCCTGTTTTCGCTGCCACCCATTGGGGGGAATTTACTAAAGCACACAGAATCTGGTGCAACTGTGTTTAAAAACCAATCAGCTTATAACTTGTTCAATTAAGCTTTGACAATAAAATCTGGAAGCTGATTGGCTACTATGCAGAGCTGTACCATATTCTGTGTGCACCAGTTTTAGTACTATCCCCTATATTGTTTTCATCTTCCAACCCAAAATTCAGCAGTGGTGTAGAGTTTGGAGAAAAGAACCACAGTGTGCAGTGAAGGACTCTTGATAGCACTTGATAGTTCCAGAAGAGCCAATTGCTAAACAGTCTAATGGATGCTGCTGCACTTGAATAAAGCAAGGGTAGGAAACATGTAACAGGGCTCTTCTCATTTTTCTTTTTTACACACTATCTATTCTTTTAATAGCACTCAGTGAATTTTAGAGTCTCAAAGCTAGTAGAATGTCAGGCACATCTATATGGCACATTGTCGTATTATAGTAAGTACTACTGCTTTATGAGTTAGCCCCAAATAAAGTCCAATAGAATGTCATAAATACCCTTCCCTCAAAAAAACAGCATCTAAATTTTAAAAAAAAGTATATATTGTTTCCCCTAATTTCATCTAAACATCTCAATTCATCCTTTTGCAATGAAATTTGTTTCATCTTAATAACTCCACCCATCCTAATTTTAATCTTCTGAGTTCCCAATGCAAAGTCAGTGTGTAGGAAGAAATGCAGCACATGAGGCAGGGAACCATTAGCAGGAAGCCAAGAAAAATATCACAAAGTTGTTTTTCATATTGACACTAATTATTACACTAAGCACCTTCATGGGGCAGTAAATTTCCATGTGCTCATGCATGTTGATGCAAAACTACAGTCATTTTTAATACCACCCTCTTGCAATAGAGGCAAATGTACCAAAACTTCAGAGCACCAGGGAATATGTGCCATGTTCTGCAGCTTGTTGCATAAAAAAATGGTCAAGTTTTTTTTTTATTTGTTAAGGTTCGCAGCCAGTCCTTTCAAAATTGAATTAAGGGCCTGAATTAAAGTGGTTCTAAAGACTTTTTTTCTTTTATAAATAACAAACATGTCTATACTTTACCTGCTGTGTGCAGTGGTTTTGCATAGAGCAGCCTGGATCCTCCTCTTCTTGGGTCCCCCGCTGGCGCTTCTGGCCTCTCCCTCCTGTTGGCTGATCCCACTCAGCAAGCAATTTGCTATGGGGGCACCCACTGCTCATGGAGCCATGTCATGGCTCCGCCCACTCTCACTTCTAATTGGCTCACTGACTGTGATTGACAGCAGTGGGAGCCAATGTCTCCTGCTTCTGTCTCAGCTAATGAGGAGAAGGAGTCCTGTGATAGCCAAGACTCCAGTGCACATTGCTGGATTAAGAGGGGGCTTAGGTGAGTATTAGGGAGGGCTGGGGGGATTCTGCACAGAGAAAGTGTTTTACCTTTATGCATCCCCCATAGAATACATGAAGGTAAAAAACCTTGAGCCTTTAGAACCACTTTAATGTAACTAAAGTAAGATTGCGATGAAGTGAAGGTATTTTTTATACCTGATTTCCTAATATGCTCCACTTCAAAACCTTTGTACAACTAAAGGATCCTGCAGGACAGTCTAGACAGATACCATAACCAGTACTACGCTATATTGGCAAAAGTATTGGGACGCATGCCTTTACACGCACATGAATTTTTAATGTAATTCCAGTCTTAGTCCGTAGGGTTCAATATTGAGTTGGCCAACCCTTTGCAGCTATAACAGCTTCAACTTTTCTGGGAAGGCTGTCCACAAGGTTTAGGAGTGTGTCTATGGGAATGTTTGACCATTCTTCCAGAAGCGCATTTGTGAGGTCATGCACTGATGTCGGATGAGAAGTCCTGGCTCGCAGTCTCCGCTCTAATTCATCGCAAAGGTGTTCTATCAGGTTAAGGTCAGAACTCTGCAGAGCAGTCAAGTTCCTTCACCCCAGATTCGCTCATCCCTGTCTTTATGGACCTTGCTTTGTGCACTGGTGTGCAGTCATGTTGAAACAGGAAGGGGCCATCCCCAAACTGTTCCCACACAACTGGGAGCATGAAATTGTCCAAAATGTCTTGGTATGCTGCAGCATTAAGATTTCCCTTCACTGGAACTAAAGGACCAAGACCAACCCCAACCCCTGAAAAACAACCCCACACCATAATCCCCCCTCCACCAAACTTTACACTTGGCGCAATGCAGTCAGGCAAGTACCATTCTCCTGGCAACTGCAAAACCCAGACACATCTATTGGATTGCCAGACAGAAAAGTGTGATTCGTCACTCCAGAGAACACGTCTCCACTACTCTAGAGTCCAATGGCGGTGCGCTTTACAGCACTGCATCCGACACTTTGCATTGCACTTGGTTATGTAAGACTTGGATGCAGTCGCTGAGCCATGGAAACCCATTCCATGGAGCTCTCTACACACTGTTGTTGAGCTAATCTGAAGGCCACAAAAAGTTTAGAGTTCCATTGACTCTGCAGACAGTTGGTGACTTCTGCTCA